ATTATCTAATATTAATTTTTAATTCTTACATGTCATACTATTTCTTATCCATAGACTATAGAACTAGGAAAGATAAAAATGATTCAAATAGCTTTTAAAGATATTTTGAATGTGCCATCTGCTAGAAAATTATTTTGAAAGTTCCCCTTTGATGAAACTATTTATGCAAAAACTCTATTGGATCAACAAAATATTAGCAAGTCAAATGCATCAATGTATTAACAAAATTATATACCTTAAACCAGTGGAATTTTTACTAAGTATGAAAGGCTGGTTCAACATTTGAGATTCAATTAATCTATCACACCATCAAGTTAAAGAAGAAAAATCACATGATGTAGAAACAGTATTTGACAAAACTCAACATCCATTAATGATTAAAAACTCTCAGTTAAGCTTGGCACAGAGGGGGAATTCTTCAGTTCAATATATAGAGATGAACCAATAGCTAATGTCATTCTTGTTAATGAGAACTGGATGCTTTCCCACTAAGACGGGTAACATGTCAAGGATTTCCTCTATCATCACTCCTTTCAATGTCATTCTAGAAATCCTAGCTAATGAAAGAAGAAAAAGAAACAAAACTTAACACTGATTGGGATGGAAGAGATATAACTGTTTTTGTTCAAAGATGACATGATTTTCTGCATAGAAAATCCAAAAAATCAATAACAATCCAAACTCCTAGAACTGATAAGCAATATGGCAAGGTTACAATTCATTATTAATACATAAAAATGTTAATACATAAGAATGTTAATACATAAAAGTCAACTACCTTATCTCAATTTTGCTGTGAACTTTAAGCTGCTCTCAAAAAAAAAAAATGAGTCTCTTCAAAGAAAAAAGATTGTTAGGTCTTTGGCTTGAACTGTAAGAGTAGCTCAGAGTAATTTGGTGTCTGGCCATATTCTGTAAATGCCCAGTTCACAGATTTAACAAATGACCGGAAAAAAACAATTTTTGAAAATACTGTTAAAGCATCTAGTAGAGAAGTGGCTCTATAAAGACTTGCTGCAATGTGGGGACACACTTATCTTGCTCAAAGGAAAGTGCTTGAGAATAGTTCATATATATGCTTTCTATGAAGAAATCACCGAATGATTCTCCTTAAAACTTATTCTATCATATGTAATTTTTGTTTAATTTATGCAGAGGGAAATGGGACTTATTTTCTAAGGAACAAAAATAATGATAATTATCAGAATGTGACTATAAATTTCCATAATTTTTTTCATTTTTTAAAAAGTCTGCTTTATTTGTAGGTAAATCTCTTTTCCTTTTGCTAATAGGTATGCTTGTGTAATAGTGACTTACAATAGAAGCTTATAAACAGCATTACAAAAGAAATATCTTTAACAGCAACTATCAAATTTCTATAATATAGGTAGCGATACATTTTTATAATATCCCATTCACTCATCCATGCTAAGTTGAATTTTCATGCCTGTTGAATTTTTCCCAAAAGAAAATCAAATAAAAACTGTTTGCTTATAAATTATACATTGTCCTGTAACTAATTAAAAACCATTTTACGATATATCCTAGAATATTAGTTCTTTCTACCCGTTTATTTTTAACACATCAGGAGATGATTTCAGTTAAACACTAATGTGTTTTTTTGTTGTTATAAATGTCCATATTAAAGAGTAAAATGTACTGGAGAGAGGCCCACCCATGCCCGTCCCGCGCTAGGGTTCCTTATTCACCAAAGCGTGGCTCCACAGCCCAACATCAGGGTACATATAGGCTTGAGGCTGCCATGCCACAAAATTGGGATATCGCTACTTCTATCAAGAAACAACAATAAGGACTTGGTAAAACATCACCAAGGTCCCTATGGGCCTGGCTTCGCTAGTAGTATCTCTACTAGGCGTGTTGGCAGTTATCCTGTTGCTGAGGTAACGGAGTCTTGCATGGGTTGCCTCTTTCTTGTTTCTCCTAACAGCCAACTTTTTATGATTACCTTTTTATTAGTCTATAATCTAATACCTCTATATTCTCACATCCTACCTCATAAATAACTCAGCCAACCCCCCAGCCTCCCGTTCTACCATTAGAAACTGTAAACCATTATGCAAACCTATTGACTATATGGTAGAAGATAACAAAACTCATTATTTCTGATTATAGCAACACAACTGTAAATGTAAAATTAGAAGCTAACTGACCTATGTTTGCATGTTTGGTATGTTGAGTGCTATAATATTGATCTCCCCCTTAAAGGTGAGTATTGGTAACCTGCAGGGACACTATAAGACAATAGGGTGGAAGCTGTAGTACCTCGGAGCTACACTGCAAGAGAGGAAGACACATAGACATCATGAAAAAACAAAGGAGAAAAGTGCCCCAAAGAAACCAAGATACTACAACATTAGAATCCATAGATAGTCCAGTAGATGAAATGTCCGAGAATGAGTCCAAATATACATAACTAAAATGATCTGAGAATTAAAGAACAACCTAAGTGAGCAGACACAGGCAAAAATTGATCACTCCAACAAAGAGAACAAATACAGGTAGCAAGAAATTACTTCAAGAAAGTGATAGAGATGCTAAAACACAACAACAACAACAACAACAAACAAACAAACAAACAAAAAAACCCAAAGAGAAATCCTTCAAATGAAAGAAAAAATAAACCAAATAAAAAATTCCATAGAAAGTATCACCAACAGACTAGATCACTTGGAAGTCAGGACCTCAGACAATGAAGACAAAATATAAAATCTTGAAAATAAAGTTGACCTCACAGCAAAGATGGTAAGAAACCATGAACAGAACATCCAAGAATTTATGGGATAACATCAAAAGACCAAATTTAAGATTTATTGGGATAGAGGAAGGTTCGGAGATTCAAACCAAAGGAATACACAATCTCTTCAATGAAATAATATCAGAAAATTTCCCAAGCATGAAGAATGAATTGGAAAATCAAATATAAGAGGCCTATAGGACACCAAATGTGCAAAATTACAACATATCTACACTAAGACACATTATAATGAAAAAGCCTAGCATACAGAATAAGGATAGAATTTTAAAGGCCATAGAGAGAAAAATCCCAATGACATTCCTCATAGAAATAGAAAAAGCAATCATGAAATTTATCTGGAAAAATAAGAGACCCAGAATGGCAAAAGCAATCGTTAGCAAGAAGAGTGAAGCTAGTGGCATCACTGTACCAGACCTTAAACTATACTACAGAGCAATGGTAACAAAAACAGCATGGTATTGGCACCAAAATAGACCTGTAGACCAATGGTACAGAATAGAGGACACAGAGACAAACCTACGTAATTACAGTTATCTCTTATTAGACAGAGGCACCAAACACATACATCGGAGAAAAGATAGCTTCTTCAACAAATGGTACTGGGAAAACTAGAAATCCACATGTAACAAAATGAAATTAAACCTCTATTTCTTGCCATGCACAAAACTCAAAGTGGATCAAGGACCCAGGAATTAAACCAGAGAGCTTGTGCCTAAATTACATAAAAGAAAGGCAAAAGAAAAAGTAGGCCCAAATCTCCATAATGTTGGATTAGGCCTCAACTTCCTTAATAAACTCCTATAGCACAAGAATTAAAAGCAAGAATCAATAAATGGGATGGACTCAAACTAAAAAGCTTCTTATCAGCAAAAGAAACAATCAGTGAGGTGAATAGGGAGCCTACAGAATGGGACCAAATCTGTACCACAAGCACATTAGATAGAGCACTAATCTCCAGGATATATAAAGCACTCAAAAATCTTAACACCAAAACAAACAAACAAACAAACAAAAAACAAAACAAAACAACTCAAATAACCCAATCAATAAATGGGCCAAGGAACCGAACAGACACTTCTCAGAAGCCGATATACAATCAATCAACAAATTTATGAGAAAATGTTCAACATCTCTAGCAATTAGAGAAATGCAGATCAAAACTACTCTAAGATTTCATCTCACTCCAGTCAGAATGGCAGCTATTAAGAATACAAACAACAATAAGTGTTAGTGAGGATGTGGGGAAAAAGGCACTCTCATACATTGCTGGTGGGACTGCAAATTGGAGCAGCCAATCTGGAAAGCAGTATGGAGATTCCTTGGAAAACTTGGAATGGAGTCACCATTTGGCCCAGCTATCCCACTCCTTGATTTATACCCAAAAGACTTAAAAACAGCATACTACAAGGACCTAGCCACATCAATGTTTATAGCAACACAATTCACATTAACTAAATTGTGGAACCTACCCAGATGCCCTTCAGTAAATGAATGGATAGGGAAACTTTGGTATATTTGGTATATATAAAACTTTGGTATATATACACAATGGAATATACTTTGGTATATATAAAACTTTGGTATATATACACAATGGAATATTACTCAGCATTCAAAGAGAATAAAATCATGGCATTTGCAGGTAAATGGATAGAGTTCGAGAATATGATGTTAAGTTAAGCAAGCCACACCCCCAAAACCAAGGGCCAAATGTTTTCTTTGATATGAGCATGCTGACTCATAATGGCAATGAGGGGCATGGGAGGCATGGAGGAACTTTAGATAGGACAAAGGGGAGAGAGGGGAAGGGAGGAGGCATGGAGGTAGGAAAGACGGTGGAATGAGTTAGACATCATTACCCTAAGCACATATATGAAGACACGAATGGTGTGAAAATACTTTATGTACAACCAGAGACTGGAAAAATTGTGCTCTACATGTGTAATATGAAATGAATTGCATTCTGCCATTATATATAACAAATTAGAATAAATAACTAATTTAATAATAAAAAAGGTCCAAAATGTCTGATGGTATTTAAAATCCAGGCCAATTTCTTCACATTTGCCTTCTCTTTCACTCCATAGGGATTGTAAAGTGTTTAGGGAAGAGACTATCTAATGTTTGTTGAATGAAAGATTAACCTGTAAATTATGTTTCATATCATCTGAGGGAATAGATCAGTGTGTCAACCTGTATGTCCCCTTTTCCTTTTCTCTCTCAGGTATTTATGAAACACCTGTGATGTACCAGACATTGAGATAAAATGACTAAGAAGCTTCTTCTGCCCTCAGGAAGTTCACTGTCTACTTTGGGAGGGATGCGTGGATGAGTGTCTGGATAATTTCAGTGGAAGCTGATAGATTCTATGACAGTTGTGTGAATAATTTGCTCAAGTAAAATTTATATACAATCTCCTAATTGTATCTCAAATGTAAAGTTTCTACTGGTGATGCTATTGTTCAAAGAATATCTACTTATACTCAAGCTGCTGTTGGCTTGGTCTCAAAATATTCATTTTGTTTTAAGAACTAAAGACCTCTCCTTCTGGTAACAAAAAAGAGTAAAATGTAGTCATTAGCATTTGTGTAAAATTACATTCATGGTATTTCACAATTTCCAAATAAAAGGGAGAAGATAAGCCTAAAGCTTTGTCACCTCGGTAACCTTCCAGCTTAGTTCTCATTCTTTATTTTCTTTTGGATAAAGGAATGAGAATATAAGAAAAAAGACCCAAGAACCATTTGAGAAACAAACTTTGGTATGAAAGGAGTTTTCTATTACGAGTCTGCATTGAAGTTTAAAGTAGGCTCAGGAAATCAGTGCCTGCTTTCTGAAAAAACAGACAAAAAGGTTCCTGGTATCCTGCCTGACATTCAGAACTGGCATTAGCACTGAAGCAAGTGGCCTTGTTTCAAGGGTACCCAGGTGCCAGGCCGCTGTTCTCTGAATAGGCATTGAAGTAGCTTTTAGCAACATTCATTATCAAGCAAGGACAAAGAAGGTGGGGAGGGAATGATAACTAAGAAGTGACTTCCAAGCAACTGAAAATAATCAAAATATATATAAGCTTTTTTTCTGAAGTTCAGTGGTACCTACTATTAGCAGAATTTTTATTGTACAAAGATTAACTCATATAGTTTTATATATCATATTTTAAAACATGATATGAAGGTAATTTACTTTCACTGTTTTTATATATATGAAAAATGAGACCCAGGTTAATTTTAATCTGACTGCTCTATTATTTGAACATATACTTTTTAATGCTAAGGTTTAATTAATACACAGTGAAAAATTCAAATGTTATATAGATATTATAAGGATAGCTCTGTAACATTTTATGAATGTGCCTTTTGACATTGTAATTACCCACCAAGATCAAGATATAAAAATTTCCAATCACCTGAGAAACAATAAATATTAAATTCATTTGCCAAAGACAGAGCCTCCACAATGAATAAATACTTTAATCACTAATTAAGTCTCAAGTCAATTATTTTTGTGCATAACTTCCATTGCATAATACATTGACAGAATTTGTGCAGTCAATTTTGCAGGTTGATAGCATGGATGGAGGTAGTGATCAAGTTTGAAGCTCTTTGCTTTTAGCTTCTTCTCCCTTAAATAGTTTATGGCATACCCCCAAAATTGAATGTCTAAAGGGTGAGGGTTTATTGGAAATATTCCTTAAGTTGACTTTTTAGATCAAGACTTTTTCCTTCCCTCCCCTTCACTCCTCTCCTCTCCTCTGTCTCCTCTCCTCTCCTCTCCTCTCCTCTCCTCTCCTCTCCTGTCCTTTCTCCTCCCCTTCTTTCCTTTTTGTCAAAGGGATTTTGAGAGAGCCAATTTGGTGAACGTAAGTGATTCTTAAGTTGTGTCTTATATTAATGTAACCAAAATCTGAGTATGCTGAATTTTAAACAGAGAAAAATGAACATGACTCATTCATTCAACAAAATTTTGATATTTAGGCTGAAATTAGGTGTGTGGACTGACTAGGTGCTAGTAGAAAGCCGAATGTCTTTCCATTGTTTGAATGTTCTGCCTCCAATGGAACAATAGATTTTAGAGAAATTCAGAGATTTCTAGTGAAAATAAAGCCAGTTTCAAAGATGAGTCACAGTTTGAGTATCAATCATCTTCAAGGTTTTGTAGGTTTATTTCTCTTCTTACTTTAGAAGTTGTTTGAATTACCAAGTACTCAACCTTCAAGTGAAGAGGGAAAGTGAATGTTTGAATTCCTAGAATTTTGATTTTTGAAATAAGTGTATCAATCCTAGAGTATCCTTATGCTTTTGGAACATGACCAAACCACGGGTGTGAGTCCACATGGATTATATGCTGTTACATGAAATCACGGACGTTGAAGTTAAAGCTATGAACTGGGGGCCTTGAAGATATGCCTCATTGGTAAAGCATATATTGTAGCATACACAAGTTTATTCCCAGAGGAATAAAAAGGCAAAAGCTAAAATGATTGACAAAAACCTTCAGCAAATTATACAAATAAAATATTCTTTAACAGAGCTTGCTTCCCCCCCCCGCCCCATTTTCCCAACTTTTTACTAGGCTTCAAAATACTTTGTTAATATTTTCATTTAACTTAAATCAAAGTTAAACTATGAATGATATTGACCTTAAAACAGAGCACTTTTGTATGTAGAAATTCAGTTGAACTATTGGAACACTTTATTTCTAAAACTCTATTATCCAATTAATGAAAAAAAAAAAAAAGAACAAACTCCACTGACAAGGGGATTGAGGTTGTGTAATTCACCATAGAGGACATTTTTCTGTCTCAGTGAAGAACTGCATTTCCTCAGGTAAGTTTGATTTATAAGCTCAATATAATTTTAGCCAGCAAATTTTACAAACTCCTTTTCCTCAACAACCAATATAGGTTTTTACAATTAAAAAATACCACTAAAGAGCTTTGGGAAGGTTCTCCATTGGAGCAACCTTCAAACAAGTGTATTCACATGTAAGTGAAACATGAGCATCATGTTCTGAGTTGGGGAAAACATCCTGTAACTGATAACCTGAGGATTAGTTTTGAGTAGCACAAGGGCAATGTGAAATTGAAACAAAGCTGGATTAGGAACTTGAGGAAAGAATCAATCCTGTTCCAGGCAGAACAGGGCTACCTTCTGTAGCTGATGACCAAAGGACGAAAACTCCCTAAAAGACTAATAAATAATTCAGAGTTCAATCTCAAGCCAATGATGACTATGAATGACTTTGTAGGCAAACTTCAGATTTTCAGTCTCTATTCAAACACAATGGAATAGGAGTCATTTATGTATTTATTTTCTGTACCTCAAGACTCACAACTCAATGAGTATTTACTATGGTAGAGTAAAATGTGACCAAAAGTTGTTTTTACATGAATCCTAGGAGAAATGAATTGTTCATTGTTTCATTTGTTCTACAAAAGTTTACTGAGCACTTACATGTGCTAAGATTGTAATGACAAACCAAGTAAATTTTATTCTTGCTATAGAATTTAGACAAATGTGGCTGTGTTTAGACTGGGCTGTGAGAAACACTGAAAATTCCAGGGTATCCCTCCAGGAGCCACTGGTATAGGTAAATGAGGTGGGAGCAGATGGGCCTGAAGTTCCTGACCCATCTTTTCTCCAATCAGTTGCTCTTTCTATTGTCCCCATTGAGCTACCTTAGAAGATTTTAGTTGCATTAAATATCCTGATGCTAAAGAAGTTTAATATTCAAAACTAGGTGGTGTAAACTGCTCCCAAACATCCTCCTTTTCCTAGTCTCTTCTGTTCATTTTTTCACTTATATGCTCAATAAATGGTAGACAACAGGGATTGTACTGATTGTACTGAATGGATTATAAAGCAACTCATTGCATTCGAGAAGTATTTTAATCTAGCAGTCTTTTACAGTCATTTTTACTACCGCACAATTAAGACTATTGGGATTACTCCTATAGGTTACAACTATGCTCTGCAGCCTCTTCCATAATTCATGTGCTACTGAATTGAAGAGCATGCTCCTGGACCAGGGAGAAGCCTTGGGAGCCAGAGCTGCTGTTCATGCAGGAGAGTTGTAGACTACTTTCTACCTCTCCAATCTGTGGTACTGAACCTTTGTCACATAGCATCCCCCCTTCACATGCAAGACATGCCAGGGACATAGTGAGATTTTGGCCATCAAGATGAAGAAGAACTCAAATAAGTTATTAGGGATGAGCAGTTCCTTTCATATTAGTCATAACTCCACCTCTCTCCCACAGTTGATTGCAGCAGATCCTGTGTCATGACAACGAGGAGGCTGAGACCTGCTGCCCACATTAGAGGACCTCCCATTGTGCTTCATTTAGGCTCCTCAGTGCTGAGTAAATGTTCCTGGAACTGAGCTGAACAGGAACAGAACTCCCTCCTACATGCATCTCTAAGCTGCTTACAGAGGTGCCTGCTGTTGAGGTGACTGGCAGTTCCTCCTTACTCAATGCTTGATGGAAGGTTAGGAATAGGGTTCTTTTATCCCTAGGCAGGGCTGACCTCATGGGGTAAAATGATGGGGCCCTGTGAACAATTTGATTTGAGAGAACTTTGCTAGAAGCATCTCTCCTCAAATACTCTTTTGGTTTTTGAGTCAGCAATGTTCTTTTCTAATGATTACAGCAGTTTGTCTGCAAATATCCCTATTAAAATGGGGATCCTTCAGTTCCTGTGCCCCAACAGCCTTGTGATGTTTTTTTATCACATATTTCAATCTCAATAGTATTATTTAATTCTTCTGATTGAATTCAGTTAATTAACAGGAACTTGACAACTAGGGATGACTGAATCAAAAACAGAAAAATGGGTGTTAAGCACAAAGCTCTCTGTGTGAAGATGAGGGTACTGAAGAAGGCAGCCCTGTTCTGCCAGGAAGTGGACATGTGAGTGACATTAGAGGTATCAAAAATATACATTTATATATTTCCTCTTAGGCATTATAATTTCCATTGCAAGAAATTAGGCACTGAAGTTCAAAGCTACTTTCATCAGTAAAAGATGATAAATGCTTTTATATTTCTATCCTTAGATATATTTTGTATCAATTTTTAGGTATGGTCCTGAACTCTTATCTATTCTGATAACTGCATCTTTTATCCTGAAGGAAAAATAATAATAAATATTAAGTCAGAGATGGGCTATGAGAAATTTTCACATTTACTAATAAATTTTTATTATAGTTTTTTGCCAAGACTAAAAATTACTCACTTGCCTCTGCACACTGTCTCTAGGAAATATGTGCCATGCATTAATGTTTTTCAGTCAATCTTAGACAAAAATATTTTAAAATTTCAATTAAAGCACATGGAAGACGATATTGAATTTGAAGTTATTAAAAATTCCATAATTTTCAAACTAAAAACTTCCATCTACTTTTTTTTAATGTCTCAAAAGACACAAAATGTATAGGAATCTTTGCTATGTTCTAAAAATTACTCAGAGTTAAGTATTATGAAACTTAATTTGGCATGCTTATCTAATTAATGAGATCTGACAAATGGTTGGTTCATAATTGGAGTGAGGTCATATTAAAGACATTTTCAAGACTAGACACACAATTGACTCATTAAATAATTTCTGTTTGCTATTGTTATCTTCTTCTGCTTAAAGACCTCAGTAGGTCAAACATGTTTAGTATGTGAGGTGAAAATAGACTAACTCTTTCATTTTGCACTGAAAGTCAAAGAGTTCTGTACATCTCCTTGAAAATGGAATATGATGGGCCAGGCACATATCTGCGATGCATGCCTTAACTCTAAGCATGGTTCTAAAGTGGTTAGTTACTCTTATTAAAGATCAGTTTTATTCTTTAAGTTTCATAAATTTGTGTGAATATTTTTTTTTCAATATGCAAAATTAGCAACCTCCTATTACTCCGTGTTACTAGGAAGTGAAGATTGTTTAGCCTTGTACTCAAAGTTCCTCAATTTGACTTCTAATCTTTTTATAATATTACCTCATGCTAAACCATAGCCTACACCTTCTACTCTATTTGAATTTGTCCAGCAAACTTGGCACATGGGTCTTTCCTCTATTATTCCATCCCAATGGACTGTAATACTGTCTCATTCATCCTTACTCATTCAGACTCTAACCATCTTTCACATTCCTATTGAAGTTGTCCCTCATGGTTGAGGTTTCCTTTGACTGCGTTGTTCCATGGTACCTCTACTCCATGTCCAAGTTCTGATATCCTGTTTGTATTAATCACTGAGCATTTAATACCAATAAACATTTCCTGAGTGTTTACTGAGTCCAAGCATTGTCCTAAGTGCATTTTCTTGTTTAATCTTTAAGTCTCATGAGAAATATACTGTTTTTCTTTATTTTATAGATGAGGAAACATCTCAGGGAATTTAAATGAATACCACCAATTAGAACTGATAAAACCTATATTCAAAAGTATATTCTTACCTACTAAATAATATTGCCTT